AGAGAGAGAGAGAGAGAGAGAGAGAGAGAGAGAGAGAGAGAGAGAGAGAGAGAGAGAGAGAGAGAAGTCACCAACTCATTCTTTCTCTCTCTCTCTCTCTCACACACACACACACACACTTGCAGGGAAGCGGACGATATGGCACAGGGCCTGATGGAAATGCGAACTTGTGGTGCCTCATGGCTGCGGGGGCATTGCAGAAAGATGGCTGCCCGTCATGAGGGCATATGGCACAGGGCCCGACCGTCAGTCCAAGGAGGGCGTCCTGGAAAGTTGTGGACACTACCGACAAGGGCCTGCAGAAAATATTTTTTGGCCCAGGGGCACGACAGGGTAAATCGGCCGTTGGAGGGGTGCGACAGGAAATAATGCAAATTACAGGGGCGCCAGACAAATTTTCCCTTTTTTTTTTTCCAGAAATCAGCCACGGAGGCAGCTTGAGGTGCTGGTAGGAGCAGTCACTTCAAGCTGGTCCCGGGGAGGCTCCATCTATTGGTGGGGAGCAGCACCTGCTGGGGGGAGGCTCCATCTATTGGTGGGGAGCAGCACCTGCTGGGAAACTGGCCCAGCATCGCATCTTACAAATTTCACAGGATACACAGTAATTGTACATATTGGCCGCCTGATGCAGGTGTACATTCTCCACCATATAGTGTGTCTGGTGTGACTGTTGGTGTGTGCGTCTGGTGTGTATGTTGTGTATGTTTCAATGAACAGTTTAGTGGGGACTGTTGTTGCATTTAGCAGCTTTTGCACTACTGTAGTACTGTATTGAGTCCTAAGTCCAAGTGTTTGAACTGCATTTTTTTTTTTTTGCTACTTGTTCTTTTGTCTGCCTTGTCGTCTTGGTGCCTTGCTGCTTCTTGACTTTCCATCCGTTCTTTTCTTGCTTAATGCTGTTTGCCTGCCCACTCGCCTCCCCTGTGCCCTCCAGCCTACGTTCCGTGCTACTGTTCGACTCCCTAGTGCTCCTTGACTTGTTGCCGCCTCGTCAATTCTGCCTACAGGGCTGTTTGTCTGCCCGCCTGCCTCCCCCATGCCATCCACCCTATGTCTTTTGTTTTAGTCTTTCGTTCCTTGTTGCTTTGTTTTGTTGGTCTGCCCACCCGCCTCCCCCATGCCCCCCACCCTTTGTTCCGGTGTTCTTCTGGTCTTTGCATGACTTTTGGGTGCAAGCATGTATAATCTGGGTAATGGCCCCAGTCTCTGGATAGAATTGTGAGGTCCCCGGGGCCAAGTCCCACTAGCAGCGTTGAGCTACCTCAACGCCTGAATGTGGACGCTTTTGCGGAGATGTGCAGAAATGGTGTTGAGTTTCCTGAATTGCACGTCTCCACAAACACGTCCAGATTCAGGCGTTGAGGTAGCTCAACGCTGCTAGTGGGACTTGGCCCCCGGCCTCAACTTGTTCTTGGTAATAAAGTTCAACATTCTCCCCCCCCACAAGAAAAAAAAAAAAAAAAAGCTTCCAAAAAAAGAAAAAAGAAAAAAAGCTTCCAAATGGTGTCTCACGGTGCCACCCTCCGCCGCACCGTGCCGCATCCGTATAGGAATCAAAACCAAACTCCTTCTAGTGGGACTTGGCCACGGGGGAGGTCGGTACTGCTCTTCAACCCCTATTTTCAGGACCCAAAAGGGCTGCTGCCTTGGCCACATCAGTTTTCTCCTATCTGAGCACTGCGGCCTGCACAAAGGATAAAAAAGTTTTTTTTTTTTTTTTTTTTCGCTTGGCGTGGGGATCTCCGTTTTCCCGCGACAACTTCCAAAGTTGTGGTCCCGATTATTCTTTATTTTCACGATCTGCCATACCCCCCGTTGTCAGTCTTGAAAATTCACACCATTTGAAGGGGTTCGTCTAGCTGCTGGCAAGGTTCTGATATGGCGGTTGATTGTGGCTATGGCAGCCGGGGGAAGAGCTGTTCGTCCTCTTCGGGCGGCAGTTCTTCCCGCTGGACCCATCTCTGCGAGCGAGGCGCCAGCAAAGCGGCGGCTCAGCACTTCCTCTTGCTGGTGCTGTTGGTGGCATCAGAGGCAGATTCAGCACCGAGATTCGCCGAGGGCGTAATGCACGCGAGTATCGTGAACGGAGGAGACGTGAGCGATTTCAGATACTACGCCTTCCAAGTCGTACTCTTTTATGAAGGCAGTCTTATGTGCGGCGGAAGCATAATCGCGCCTTCATACATCCTTACCGCCGGTAAGTGCTTTTTTTTTTTTTTTTTTTTTTTCCGAGATGTAAGTTCACTTTCAAGTTGCTTCATCGGGATTTCGTTAGCCTACCGGTAGGGGTATTAGCGGATCTATACGGGAGCCCTTGTCGAGCACACCGAATTTTGGCTGTTTGGAGTGGCAAGGGGGGCGATTCCATCGCACCTGTGTGTGACCTTGTTAGGACTGAATATCGATAGAATGTCCGCTGACCTACAAGAATGCTGAGAGTCGAGTGTCGTCACACCCCACGACCATCCTCCTTAACGAATAGTGTCAGCGCCGCCCCTCTCTTTTCGCATTGTCCTTCCTCGACTCTTTTTTTTTTTTTTTTTT